GAAAGGTCGGAAAACTGAAAACTCAACGAGATGAAAAATTGAAGAAAGAAAAAATTGAGAGAACTTGAGAAAAAAAGTAAAAGTAAAGAAAATAAAAACCTAAACGAAAAATTGCAAAACGAAAATATGAAGAAAAGAAAAATTACAGAATCGAAAAATTGAAAACTCGAGAAATTTAAAATCGAAAATTTGCAAAATCAAAAAATTGAAAAAACAAAAAAAAAATGAAAAATTGAAAAACCGCAAATCCAAAAATTGAAGAACCGAACAACTGAAAACAAATTAAAATTGAAAAACAAAAATTATTAAATCTCAGGATTAAAAAATCAAATAATCGAAAAATCCAAAACTTGAAAAATTTCATATTAAAAAAGAAGAAAAATTGTAAAATCGAAACATTGAAAAATCGAATAATTGAAAAATTAAAGAAAAAAAAACGAAATGAAAAATTGCAAATCGAAAAATTGTAGAAATGGAAAATTGAAAAACAAAAAAATCGAAAAATTAAAAATAGAAAAAGCGTGAAATTGCAAATCTAGAAATTAAAACATCCAAATGTTAGAAAATCGAAAAACTGAAAACTCGACGAGATGATAAATTGAAGAAACTAAAAATTGAAAAATCTAAAAACTAAAACATCCAAAAGCTGGAAAATCGAAAAATTGAAAACTCGACGACGAGATGCAGATCGTAAAATTGAAGAAATAAGAAGAATGAAAAATTGAAAATTTGAAGAAACGAACAATTGGTAAAAACTAAAATTGCAGAAACAAAAAAATTAAAAATGAGAACATTGACAAATCAAAAAATTGTAAAAATAGAGAAAATAAAAACTTCACCGAAAAATTTCAAAACGAAAATATGAAGAAAAGAAAAATTACAGAATCGAAAAATTGAAAACTCGGGAAATTTAAAATCAAAAAATTGCAAAATCTAAAAATTGAAGAAAAAAAAAATGAAAAATTGAAAAACTGAAAAACCCCAAATCGAAAAATTGAAGACACGAACAACTGAAAAAATTAAAATTGGAAAGCAAAAAATCGTTAAATCGGAAGATTAAAAAATCAAAAAATTAAAAAATACAAAACTTGAAAAATTTCACATAAAAAAAAAGAAAAATTGAAAAATCGAACCACTGAAAAATCGAATAATTGAAAAATTAAAGAAAAAAAAGCCGAAACGAAAAATTGCAAATCGAAAAATTATAGAAATGGGAAATTGACAAATCGAAAAATCAAAAAATTAAAAACAGAAAAATAGTGAAATTACAAATCAAAGAATTTTAAAATCCAAAAATTGAAACATTCAAATTTTGAAAGGTCGGAAAACTGAAAACTCGACGAGATGAAAAATTGAAGAAAGAAAAAATTGAGAGAACTTGAGAAAAAAAGTAAAAATAAAGAAAATAAAAATCTAAACGAAAAATTGCAAAACCAAAATATGAAGAAAAGAAAAATTACAGAATTCTAAAAATTGAAAACTCGAGAAATTTAAAATTAAAAATTGAAAAACAGCAAATCCAAAAATTGAAGAACCGAACAACTGAAAACAAATTAAAATTGAAAAACAAAAATTATTAAATCTCAGGATTAAAAAATTAAAATAATTGAAAAATCCAAAACTTGAAAAATTTCATATTAAAAAAAAAAAAGAAAAATATAAAATCGCAACATTGAAAAAGCGTGAAATTGCAAAAATCTAGAAATTAAAACATCCAAATGTTAGAAAATCGGAAAACTGAAAACTCGACGAGATGATAAATTGAAGAAACGAAAAATTGAAAAATTTTAAATTAGAAAACAAGAAAATATACAACCGGAACAAAAATTTGCAAATCGAAAAATTGTAGAAATGAAAAAGTGAAAAATCGAAAAATTAAAAATACAAAAATTGTGAAACTGCAAATTTAACAATTGTAAAATCTAAAAACTGCAACATTCAAAAGTTGGAAAATCGGAAAATTGAAAACTCGACGACGAGATACAGATCGAAAATTGAAGAAATAAGAAAACCAAAATTTAGGAAACAAAAAAATTAAAAATGGAAACATGGAAAAATAAAACAATTGTAAAAATAAAGAAAATAAAAACCGAAACGAAAAATTGCAAAACGAAATATGAAGAAAAGAAAAATTACGAAATCAAAAATTTTAAAATCTAAAAATTGAAGAAACAAAAAATGAAAAACAGAAAAATTGAAAAACCGCAAATCGAAAAATTGAACACATGAACACCTGAAAAAATTAAAATTGGAAAGCAAAAAATTTTTAAATCGCAAAATTAAAAAATCAAATAATTAAAAATAGAACCATTGAAAAATCGAATAATTGAAAAATTAAAGAAAAAAAAAGCTGAAACGATAAATTGCTAATCGAAAAATTATAGAAATGGAAAATTGACATGGAAAAACCAAAAAATTAAAAATAGAAAAATCGTGAAATTTCAAATCAAAAATTTTTAAAACATTTAAAACATTCAAATGTTGGAAAATCGGAAACTGAAAACTCGACGAGATGAAAAATAGAAGAAAGTAAAATTTGAGAGAACTTGAGAAAAAGTGTAAAAATAAAGAAAATTGTAAAACGAAATATGAAGAAAGGAAAAATTACAGAATCGAAAAATTGAAACCTCGAGAAATTTTAAATCGAAAAATTGAAGAAACAAAAAGATTAAAAATTGAAAAATCGCAATTCGAAAAATTTAAGAAACGAATAACTGAAAAAATTTAACTTTGAAAAAACAAAAAATTATAAAATCTGAACATTGAAAAATCGAATAACTGAAAAATTCAAAAATTAGAAAATTGAAAAATTTAAACTTGAAAACTCGAAAAATTGCAAATCGAAAAAGTGAGAGACAAACACAAACAAAAAATGAAAAATCGAGGAACTGAGAAATTCGGTCTAAAAACTGCGGGAGTGTTATTTACGCGACTGGTTTTCACTTCATAGAAGTTTTGTCGAAAAAATGTTTGACTTATTTTTTGTGATTTGTATTGACTGTACACGCAGTCATTTTAGAAATTGGGATGGTTCGTCAAATAAAATAATAGTACAGAAAACTGATGCCGTTGAATATGTAGGCTGTCCATAATGCACCCAAAGCGGTATGTATTGTAAAAATATAGAATCGAGGCTAGTCTTAGTAATAGTATTTTCAGCGCGAGCTTTCGTTCGTGGAATAATAAACTTATTATCGTAATTATGTTATTTCGATAGTTAAATTACGACCCTTGATTATAGTCATCGATAGACACAAACAACATATCGCGTTACATCCACCCCTTAATACCAACCTTTCCAAGTCGCATCACGCCCCGGCCGTAATTTCCGACCACCCTTTTTATTATTCGCAGTTGTCATTACTTATTAACGGCAATTCCAATCGAATCCGAGCCATAGAAAAAGCTCGAATAGTTGTCACGACATTTAGCCGATGTGTGTGATAACAAGGCACACACGTTATTAGGGGTCGCATTTTCACCAAACGATTCGTTTCCAAGTTAAGAGACGCGATTTCCAGCACGCAATGACTTTCTAAATCAGATAACTTGGCCCCAAACTAACCATGTTAAATGTGGCGCCCTTGCATGAAACGTCCCTTAATGCTACTTCTACATCAAGCTGTCTTATATTAGTCAAAGCGAAGGTTCCGCGATTTATCGCGATATTTATGTTTGCAGGAATCTTTAAGGGTTTTCGCAACGAATATAAAACTCGATAATGCAGGTTCATCTCAATAATGTCGTACCGTTCGGGCGAATTGTCAGGCCGGAATGCGAATCAGAAGCAGAGATATTCGAGATAATTTGTTTTCAAGGGGGTTATGATGTTGATAGGAGGAAAGGATTCGGCCCTGTGCGAGTTTGTCATAGTTGGGGGTGGAAACATAAAGCTTTTCTGATAGTTCTTCGACTAGGGTGGGAAGCACGCACGAGGTCTTCAGTTGGAAAGGTCGTGAAAGGTGGTTTTAATTTCCGTTGGACGGATTTTGCATAATACGACACGCGTTTTTTTAATTTATTTGCTTGTTTTACGGCATCTTTGTTGTAATTTGTCTGTTTCAATGAAATTTAGATTTCTGCGGGAAACAAATAGGTGACATTAGCGGTCCTTTTTCGTTAAGGTTTATCTTCAGTTTTATTTACCGCCCTACTTTTACTTTCAGAGCGTAAGCTAGGGACTATTGTATTAGGGTCCGGTTGACGAATGGCTAATTTCATGTTTTCTCGACGTTTTGTAGCTCCTAGAACATGAAAAGTAGGCAATTTTATCAAACAAGGAATCTACGACAATACTAAATAAATTACTGTGAAATTCCATGTGTAGTTGGAGATTATCAGATGATAATTATTAATTTCTACTAAAAATTTAATGATGTCGTTTCAAAATGTTGAATAGTAAATATTACGTGAAGTATGCGCAAGTCAAAACAAATTATTGAAAGAATTTATTAACTACTTGCTACGATTGCTATTTTATTAGTGTTATTATGCACGTATCAAAATTTTTGTTCTCATTAAAATGTTGATGACATCTTCATAAATTTTTATTAAGGAAATCTAGAAACTGTCTACACTTCAACGAAGTCCAAAAACTATGGAAAAGTAGTCAGAAAAATTTGGAAAAACTGGAACCTCTATAATAAAAAGTCTTATGTAACCTTGAACGATCTGAAAGTTCTAAAAACGTACTCAAAATTCTGGAAATTTTCAAGCTATGCACACTCAATACTGGAAACTTGTTAATTGTTGAAGTTCTGAAAATTTAAGTAAAACTAAGAACAACTTTGGAAATTTTGCCAATTCTCAAAATACTGGAAATTTTGAAAACTCTGAAAACTTTAGAAATTTTAGAAAGCCTAGAAATTCAGAATACTTAAAACTCTATATGGATACTACAGACTCTAGAAGCTTTGCAAACTGTAAAAACAGAACATTTAGACAGTGTAAAAATTCTGATAACACTATATTCTATGGACATTTTGGAACCTCTGAAAATACGAGAACTTTGGAAACTTAAAAAGTCTATAAAGTTTAAATATTTTAGAAACTCGAAATCTGTAAAACTGTGTGAAGTTTCTTGGCAATCTGCTAAAACCATATCAGCTGTCTATTATGACAATATAGGAATTTGTAGAAAACTAAACTGGAAAAATTTAGAGAGTATAAAAATGATAGATTCTATGGAAATTTTGGAGCATCTGAAAACTGTAACAATTCTAGAAACCCTGAAAATTTTACAAACTTAGAAAGCTGTAAAAAATCTAGAAATTCTAAATCCAGGGGATGTAGAACAACTGGAGGCTCTCCAAACCTAGAAGAATTTGTGTTCTCTAAAAATTTGCTAAACTTTGGAAGCCATGATCTTTGAAACTCTATATGAGCACTCTTGAGATTCTAGAAGCTTAGGGAAATCTAGAATTACTAGAGAATTTGAAGAATATAAAAATTCTGAAAATTCTAGATTCTACAGAAATTTTGGAATCTCTGTAAACACGAAAGTTTTACAAATTTAAAAACCTAGAAACTGTGAAAACTCCAGAAACCTTGAAATGTGTAAACAATTTAGAAGTTCTAAAAGTCTTGGGAACTAGAGAAACGCCTAAAACTCAAAATCTTTGAAACTCCAGTGAATACTTTAGAAACTCTAAAGGCATTAAGGATTCTACAAATACTAGAAAATGTAGGAAGTGTAGAAATTTCGAAAATTCTAGATTCTGCGGAAATTTTGGAACCTCAGCAAAAACGAAAAATTTTGAAAATTTAGAAACTGTAACAATTATAGGAACCCTGAAAACTTTACAAACTTCGAAAACTGCAAAAAACAAGTAATTCTAAAAAGAGTGAAGTTCTGGAAACGTTGGAGTCTGTTAAAACCATATTAGCTGTTTGCTGTGGCAATCCAGGGGATGTAGAACAACTGGAGACTCTCCAAACCTAGAAGAATTTGTGTTCTCTAAAAATTTGCTAAACTTTTGAAGCCAGAATCTTTGAAACTCTATATGAGTACTCTCGAGATTCTAGAAGCTTAGGGAAATCTAGAATTACTAGAGAATTTGAAGAATATAAAAATTCTGAAAATTCTAGATTCTACAGAAATTTTGGAATCTCTGTAAACACGAAAGTTTTACAAATTTAAAAACCTAGAAACTGTGAAAACTCCAGAAACCTTGAAATGTGTAAAAATGTAAAAATTCTTGTCTTGGAAACTTGGGAAACTCCTAAAATTCAAAATCTTTGAAACTCTATATGGATACTCTAGAAACTCTAAAGGCATTAAGGAATTTATAAATACTTACCAGAAAATTTAGAAAGTGTAGAAATTTTGAAAACTCTAGATTCTACGGAAATTTTGAAAATTTAGAAACTGCAACAATTCTAGAAACCCTGAAAACTCTACAAACTTTGAAAGCTGTAAAAAATTTAGAAATTCTAAAAGGCGTGAAAGTTTTGGAAACTTTGGAGTCTGTCAGGAGATGTAGAACAACTGGAGACTTTGCAAGCCCGGAAGAATTTGTGTTCTCTAAAAATTTGCTAAACTTTAAAAAATCACTTTGTTTAAAGACTCTAAAAAATTTGGAAATTCTGAAAGTATTGAAAATTAATTCTCGAGGCTGTGGAAAAAAATACAAAGTTTCATAAATCTACAATTTGGAGACCTTCTAAACTCTAGAAACTTTGAAAATTCTGCACATCTTGGAGAATGTGCGAAGTCAAAACTCATCTATGGGAATTCTTAAAACTGAAATCATTCTGGAAACTTTGAGATTTTTGTAAGAAGTTTAGAGCCGTTAAAAAATTTGGAGATTCGGGGAGGTTTGAAGATTTTGTCATTTCTCGGAACTGCGCAAATCCTAGAATTGAAAAAACTCTAGAAATTTTGATAAATCTACCTTTGAATTCTAGAATCCTAGGAAATTCTGTAAAGGTAGGCGAATTTGTGGATTAATGACACTCAGCTGAGGAAATTTTATTTTTATAAGCCTTAGTAACTATACAAAAATTCAAGAATGTGTGGACATTCCAAAAAAATTGGAAATTCTTGAAACTGAAAATTTTACCAATTCTCGGACCTGTGGAAATCTTAGAATTCTAGAAACACTGGAAACTCTGGAAGATTTTGCAAACCTGGAAGAATTTGTGGACTCTGAAAATTTGGTAAACTTTTAAAAGCCAGAATCTTTGAAACTCTATATGGGTATTCCGAGACTCTAAAAGCTTTGGTAAATCTAGAATTACTAGAAAATTTAAAGAATATAGAGATTCTACAGAAATTTTAGAATCTTTGGAAAGTTTTATAACCACTCAAAGTTAACAAATTCTAGAAACTGTGAAAACTCTAGAAACTTTAAAAGGTGTGAAGGTGTTGGAAACTTGAAAAATTCCTAAAATTCACAGTCCTTAAAATCCCGTATGGATACTCCAGAGAATCTAAAAGCATTACGGAATCTACAAATACTAGAAAATTTGTCAAGTTTAAAAATTTTGAAAATTCTAGATTCTACGTAAATTTTGGAACCTCTGCAAACTGGAAAATTTTTGGCCACTAAAAATTCTAGAAACACTGAACATTCCAGAAGTTTCGAAAACCGTAAAAAATCTAGAATTCTAAAAAGTGTGAAGGTTTGAAATCCTAGGAAACTTTTAAAATTAAATCAACTGTCTACTGTGGTAATGTAGAAGACTAGAATAACTGAAAACTCTTCAAACCTGAGAGAATTTGTGCATCCAGCTATGAAAATTTAAAAAAATGAAATTACTCAAATTTAGTGTGGGTCTAGAATTCTAGGCACTATGGAAAGTTTGATAAATCTAAAATTTTAAAACCATTTAAATTCTAGAAACCCTTAACGGTTTCACAAACCTGGAAAAATTTATGGATTTTCGTGGCTGTGGAAATCTTATAATTCTAGAAATTCTACAAAGTTTCATAAATATACAATTTGCAGACATTCTGAACTTTAGAAACTCTAGAAGATTTTGCAAATCTGGAAAAATGTGCGAAGTCAAAAACTCATCTATGGAAATTCTTGCAACTGAAATCATTCTGAAAACTTTGAGATTTTTTTCGCTTTAGAAGCTCTTGCAAGAAATCTAGAGCTATTAAAAAATTTGGAAATTCGGGGAGGTTTGAAGATTCCCTCGGAACTGCGCAAATCCTAGAATTGTAGAAACTCTACAAAGTTTGATAAATCTACCTTCAAATTTTAGAATCCTGGGAGATTCTGCAAACCTAGACGAATTTGTAGGAATTTTTGTATTAATGAAACTCAGCTGAGGAAATTCTAAAACCAAAGTCACTCTGGAAACTTTTTTGATTTTTATAAATTCTAGAAAATTTTGTAATTTTCAAAAAATTTAAGTACTCTAGAGGCTCTAAAAAAATTGGAAATCCTGGAAGCTTTGAAGATTTGATAATCTAAAGAGGTCGAAATCTCGAATTCCAGAGAGTCTAGTAAACTTAATACACTAAAATTTCGAAATTCTTTAGACTCTAGAAACTTTGGAAAGTTCTGCGAATCTGGGAGAATTTTTTTCTATCGGCTACAGAAACTATGGAACCTTAAAAAAATTTAATGATTCGTAAAAATTTGGAAAATCTGGAAACTTTGAAAATTTTGCCAATTCTCGGAACTGTGGAAATCCTAGAATTCTAGAACCACTAGAAACTCTGGAAGATTTTGCAAACTTGGTATTTGTGGACTCAGAGAACTCAACTGTGCTATTTCTAAAAATTGAAATCACTTTCAAAAATTTGGGAGTACTATTACTTTAGTACTTTGGAAACTTTGAAAAATATAAAAACTCCGCAGAATGCAAATATTTGATTTTTGAAAGCTTTGAAGATTTGCAATTTTCGAAACTGTGGAAATACTCAAATTTTAGAGATCCTAGAATGTGTGATAATGATAAATCTAATATTTGGAAATCCTTTAAACTCTAGAAACTGTGGAAGATTTTGTGAACATTTGAGAATTTATGGCTTCACGAAGCGCAAGTGTAGAAATTATAAAAACTGAAATCACTCTGAAAACTTTGGAATTTCTATAAGCTGTAGAAACTTTAGGAATTCTGTAAATTCTAGAAAATTTGATAAAGTTAAAATTTGGAAACCCTTTAAACTTTAAAAGCTCTGGTAGATTTTGCAAACCTGCGCAAATTTGAAGAGACGGGAAACTCAACTGAGAAAATTGTAAAAACTGAAATCTATCTGAAAACTTTGGGATTTCTATAAGTTTTAGAAACTCTGGAGTATTAAAAAAAATAAGGACTCTAGCGACTCTAAAAAAAATTCAAAATTCTGAAGGTTTGAAGACTGAAAATTCTCAGAACTGTGAAAATCTTATCCCTTCAGAAACTCTAGAAAGTTTGATGAATTTAAAATCTGAAAACAATTTAAATTCTAGGCAGTCTGGAAGATAACAAACCTGGGGGAATTTGTAGAGTCAGGAAACTCAACTGTGAAAATTTTAAAAACTGAAATCTCTGAAAACTTTGGGGTTTGGGGGAAAAAGTAGAGCGATCTGATCGAGCACTTTTATCAAATTTCATTAGTGATTTTTTATGAAATTTATGGCCACACTGTATATTGTTACGCGTTCTGGATGTTTTGCTTTATATTTGAAAAGATCATAATATAATTAGTTTCAATTAATTAATTAATTAATATAATTTTCCACGTTGACGAACTACTGCGATCGATTTTTATTTCAATAACTAACATTTGTTAAAACTAATTGTTTAAATTTACTGCTTCTGGGAAACAAATTTGTGTAACTATTACATGCTGGTGAATAAAAAAAAACATATTTAAGTCTATATTTTTACATTAAAATTAGAACGAGAGAAGAACGGCTCAAGTTTTATGAACTAAAAGGAAAATAATTTTTATAAGTAGCTAAAATGCGGGAACAAACAGAATAAATGCTAACAATATAAAAAAAATATTTCATTTTCTAAAGATTATACATTTAGTAAACAAGTTGAGATAATGATGTTAATTTGGTAATTAATATGCGTTCGGTTAACTTTTTCGTAAAATTTATTTTGTTATTATTATGCAAAACTGATTAAAACAAGTGAATGAAAATCGAATTCGAACTACGCCACAGATTAATATGATCATATTTAATTATTCATAAATAACACTTCATTATTATAAACTATCGTGTTTTCCTATTTTGAGCCAAAAGTCCTGTTTCCTTCCGGTTGAACATGTATTCAGTTAATATATTTTGGCACAATTTTTCTAGTGAGTGTACGCACAACTTACGTTTTGTTTATACTAGAATATTAATCAAGTGAGTTATCAATTGATTAAACTTTCCTATCAAAATACGTCGGAATGTAAGATATGAGTAAATATTGATAGACTTTACATGAGTGACTAGATAGATAAGCTTCCATATTTTTGTGGAAACCGGTTGAAAAAATTTTAACAAAACAACAACGTCCTTAAATGACTAAATCTTACTCACGTTTCTGCTGCTTAGTTACCTCTACAATCATAAAAGCAATTTTTTTTAATTAACAAAGCACCTGTATCCAAAACACGTTGAGCTTTTTATAAGTCGTGCCATATTTGCGTGCCGAAAGCGTTCAAAAGGACATGTACTCACATCACATAAAATGAAACCTAATTTTTCCCAACAAAATAAATCCCTTCAATTCGTCTCCCTCTGAAAGCTTTTCGATGTGATCGAATCCTGCGACATTCGCAATCCCCAAAT